CTGCGCTGCCGTCACCGCCCGACTCCTGGCTGCAGAGGAAGCAGGCGCCGGGAAAACAACCTCTCTGCTGCAGCGAGTGCTGGAATCCGAGCATGCTTCTAAGATCTCTTGGTCCGCTGCGCAGAACACACCAAACTGCTCTCGCTCCCCCTGCCCTGCGCCCGAGACCTCCTGACCGGGCGGCCTCCTACATGGCCACCCGTGCTTGCCCTGAATTCCCCCTTGCCCTCGGTCGCCCCTGGGCTCGGCAGGGCTCCCTGGGAAAGCAGGCGGGGAGCCGTCTGCCCTGCCTGCTCTGCCAGCCCCTTCTCGAGCACAGGGCTTGGAGCTAAGGGGCAGGGGGGGAATATCTGTGCATGAAGGGAGCTGCTGGTGAGCAGGGGCTGTCCCCTGTGCGGGTGAGCCCAGCGGACAGTGGCGGGGCTGCGCTGTAGCAGCAAAGGGTGCTTGCTCCGCAGGTGGAGGGCTCGAGGGGCCGGGGGTGTGTGTTCCACAGGGATCAAGAGGCACCGTAGGGGCTCTGCCACCAGCTGCTTGAGCAGCGAGGCCCCAGTAGTGATGAGCCCCCCAGTGAAGATGAGCACTAGTAGTAGTCATGCCAGAGGGAGAGGGATTGGGCTGCCCATTGGACAAACTGCTATGAACAGGAAAAGTGCTGAGGTGGGCATAGATGGGCACTTCTGCTTCCTATCTTGCTAAGTTTTGCTACAGAGTAGATTTATGTTTCATTAACAGGTTGTCTACTTAGTGCCAGCTGGTCTGACGTTTCTGGTCAGCATTAACCCCTCTATAACAGGTATGATATTGGTGTACAAAACAAAATTTTGCCCCTGAGAAGTTTTGTATGTTTTCGTTTGTTTGTTTGTTTTTTATTGAATCACAGTTTAAGACATGTAGGAACATGTCCTACTACCTTTTAAGGGCAAAAAGCTGTGAGACCTGCCTCTACAAAAACTGCTCGGTGGTTTTGTGCTTGTGCTTGGATGTGCTGCAGGTGAATGCAGGAGTTCTGCATAAAGACCTGTCTCTGGGATGAGCTTACTTTTGCACCCTGATTCCAGTGCTCAAAGCCTGAGTGGAGCACAGGTCTGGGAGCAGGCTCTGAACCTGGCTCTGCTGTTAGCACCTTAGCACATTAATTTACTTTGTGTCCTTGTAAATCTGCAGATCTTTTTATCTGCCACATAGAAGAGCAGTTGAGCTCTGCACAGTCTTTGAAAGAGCTGAACATCTTGTTCAGCTTCGGGTGCTGCAGCTACCCCACAAAGTGTGTGGGTGGTAATGAAGATGTTTAGAAGCTTCAGTGCAGTGGCTGCATTTCCAAGTGCACTAAGCAGGCTAATGCCACACCACACCTTGGGAGAATCAAATTTGGTCCAGGGCTCCAAAAAATAAATTCATTTTTTACTTTTTCATCCATTAGAAATAATTTTAAAATAACATTTTGTATGCACAAAGTGACTGTATCTTTTCTGGCTGAGCACTCACTCTGATTAAAACCACACTTAAGTAAGAAACGCATCTTCCAGAGTGCGTGCTCTGTCACAAATCGCACCATTGCAATCTCTCAGCATTCTGGCTACCTTAAGCATATAAAGTGGCAGCATTCATAAAATCAAAAGCCATGGTGGCTGGTTGCCTGTGATTTTGGTAATTTCAGGGGAGGTTTATTTGTGTGAAAGGTGTAGCTTCAGTATAGTGTCATTTGGCTGGTCAGGAAAATCTGTGAGTAAAACTCATAAGTAGATTTTTGTTACTTGTGCCCAGGTCTGTGGAAAATAAAGATTAAAATAGCACAACTATTGTATAGCTTGATATTTATATACATTTACCAAGGTATATTTGCCATTCAAGTCAGTGGAAGACCCACATTCTGCCTCTGCTGAGCTGCAGTAAGTTCAGCCAAATGGGGAATCGATTACAACTATGGGTCATGCTGAGCTTTTGAGTTTTGGCAGCTCATCATTAATGCTTGCCTCGAGGGGTCAATACCCAGAAAAGACTGCTTTTAATGTTACAGTTTTTGCTATTGACATTGCTGAGATTAGCAAGCAATCAGGCTGTGCCATTTGCTTACCTCTCTCTCACAAGCCCCTAGGAATGGACATGGAAAACCACAAGAACCTATGGGCCCTTTCAGGTATTTCACATAATCTGTATTCCTCTTGAAAAACATCACGCCTCAGGCAGAGATGTCATTAGCGTTGCTCATCATCACCACACGCAAAAGGTCAGGCAGAAGCTTGTCATGGAGTGTGAGTCCAGCCCCCCCCTGCAGTGTGGTGGACACTCAGACCCTGACAGCTGGGAGGGAGCTGGGGCCTGGGGCTTGCCCCCTTGGGCCCCAGCAGTCCTTGTGGTCACACTGAGCATCTGATGGTGGCTGTGAGTTCTGGAAAGGCCATTCCTCCTGCTTAGAATAACTTGGATTTGTAATATGCCTCGTGGGTTTTTTTTCCATGCATGTTTAATGCTGGAGCCCGTTTAGTTTGCTGGAGAGAAATGGAAACCCATTTTCATTGAGGTGCTGCTGCCAACAAGTGGCATTCCGAGGAAAGCAAGCCTCAGGCCCACTAGAGTCTATTTTCAACAGCACTTTTTCGCAGATTTCCCTGGTCATAAAGATGCTGGTATTAATTCCATCTTCCTGCTGAAGATATGTGTTTTTTTTCTGGAGGCATCTTTTTTAGCAGCTTAGTAGGTTTTTGATGTGTAGGGTTTACTTCAATGCTTCGTTGCAGTTGCTGGCAGTCTTGTTTTTTCTTTCAGATAACAGTGTTTGGAGAAGCCTCTGTGACTTTCATTCTGCTTCTTGTATTGTTGGGACCATTGCCTTGGCTTGCTCTTTGTTTGCCTATGCTCAAGGAAACATTTTGCATGAAGAGGAAGGCAGGTAAATGGTGATTTTTATTTCCCCTTGCATGAATTCAGCCCACCAGGCCATCTCCTGCTGTTTTGCCCTGTGTTAATGAGGGAAATGTGCTGTGGAATAGAAGTTTATCAGTGAAACAGAATATGGAAGCAGGAGTTTATACAGCTGTGTAGCTGGGTCATATTGATACCACTAAAGCTGGTCATATAAAGAACCCTCTAACACTTGCATTTAAATTTTAGAAGGCACACGTTCTTTATAACAGTGCTGGATGCACAGGGGGCTACTCCAATTTGCAGCTGCAAATGACAAGGCTTATATTGTCTCACTGTATGCATCAGATTTCCTGGAGCTAATTTTAATATTTGCATTCTCATTATACATGCACTTTAAGCCTCCTTGAGTCTTTAGTAGGAGTCTTTGGTGGTCTTAGGGGGTTGCTTTGAAGTGTGCTTTTGTTGAACCCTTCCCTGAGGCATGTGCAGTGTGGGGTGACCAGTATGGTTGTCTTCTTCTTGTCTTGCTGGTGGCAGCTAATTCTTCACTGCAAGGCCTCTGGTTCCTTGAGCTTGTTCTCTATTTACATACAAAAATATTTACATAAAGCCTTGCGGCTGCTCGGGTAAATGCAGATCAATTTGACCATAACTGGGATAATGGAATGTTGCCTATTGTTTAAGGTATCCGTCTTTTTAAGGTATCAAAGTGCATTTGTAGACTTGTGGTGGGAAGCAAAGTTACTCCGTGCTAATACCTGTAGAATTATAATCCTAGTAATATACATAGAACTTCTTCAAAGGGGAAAACACTACTGTTTTGGAGGCAAAAATTGTGTATTTTTTAAAAGTAAATATGTTCTTGTTATTATTTTCTGATTTTTGTTGTTTGTTTTGCTTTTTAGAGAGTTGCTTGGTCTGGTGATTATTATAATATGGATGAGTCTTTGTCACAGTTCAGCAAAGTAAGTTTTGTTTCCTTTTTAAAAAAAATCCATTGATATGTTCACATTTAGTGAGTAGCTTCTTGAAAACACAGTTGATTTTGACTGCTTGTTTTTCTGCTTCATGTCACTGTCTGAACCTTGGCAAATACATAAACAGGATCTGTAGTCCTTTGAAGGACTCTGCTGATGCATCCACAGGAGCTACATTAAACTGGCCAAGGGCTCTCTGCCATCTAGCGAGTATAGTTTCATTCCCAGTATGAAAGTCCAAGAAGTCTGATTTGAAGTAGCTCTGATGCATTTGCTTCTTTATAGGGGTCCACTGGGTGGAGTTTACTTGATGGCTGCAGTCCTTCTTGCCCTCTTCCCCTTGATTACATGGCTGTACATTTATGTGAACAAAGAGGTGCGAGCATCTTGGCCAACCCACTGTAAAACAGTTATTTAATCCAAGAATCACACAATTAGGTTGGAAAAGACCTCCAAGATCACCTAGTCTAGCTGTCCACGGAGGAGATGGGGACGAGGAAGGAAACAACACAACCCACCTGAACAAACAACAAAAAAAAGCCCCACAGTCACACACCCTACAAAACCAACAACACACACCCCACAAAAAACCCACCATGATGCCCACTAGAGCGTGCCCTGAAGTGCCACATCTGCACGTTTCTTGAATACCTTCAGGGATGGTGAATCCACCACCTCTCTGGGCAGCGTGTTCCAGTGCCTACTTGGGTGGGAGGAAGTCTAGAGTAAATATGCTGAGCCTTGGATTTTGGTTCTTAATGAAAAGTTAGTACCAGTTTGGTAAGATCCAGGAATTCTAGGCTCCTCCTAGCAGTGCAGTTTGAGATTTGTTAAAAAAAATTGAAGAACACTGTCAAATCTTAGTGGAGGATTTTTCTATGGAAACTGTTCTTTACTGGCTTCTTCATACATTTTCAAAGCACTGTAGATCTAATGTGTGCTCTAATGGCATATTCAAGATATCCTTGAATCACTCTAATCACCTTTTACTTTGAGAAATGTACTGTTCTGTAACATAAGGGAAAAGTAAACCAAATACTTTTTTTCAATAAATTACTTATTGCAGCCATAAAACTTCCAGATACCTACCTGTATGGTCCATTGAGACTTACTGAAAAATTGAGTAGTCTGTATTTTTGTTCTATGTATATCTAGATTGTATCTGAAGAAATACTTTTGCTATTATCTTTAACTGAAAATTATTGGTTTTATGGAGTAATAAATACAATTTTTTAAAGAAAATTCAGGCTTCTGTATTTTTATTTTCTGTGTGATTTGTACTCAAGACTGCCACGAGCAGACATGGTCACTGTCACAACTCTGCTTCTCACAGAATTCCTGCTCTTGGAAAGCAGAACCTATACAGCAGCCTAGCAACAGTAAGCATGTTTCATCACTAATAATCCTGGAAAAGGAAGCTCAGGTGAATGCTCAGGTGAATACACAAGCTGGCTGAGAAAGAGACAGAATAGGTCCAGATGTAGCACAGCAACATGCTTGAAACAAATAAATTGAACTCAACAGCAAACAGAACTGTTTTTCAGCAGGGCAGCACTGGGGATTCTCCACCATAAGTGCTCCAACGAGTTAGCAAAACACCCCAACTATTATATACCAAAACCATGCATATTCAGTTCTATGCCAAAGGGTCTCCTGTGGGGGTCTTTGTTGATTCTAGGCCCTTTGTCATCTTAGTCCTGTCTCCCTGTCCTTCCTGGTCCTGTGTCCAGTCTCAAGCTGTTAGATTGCCCAGGTGGGTCCAGAATCAACAGGAATGTTGGCTGTAGGCAGACAGGTCTTAGAAGACTTGATGTTACCACAACCTGCAGGATGCTTGACATACAGTTTCACAAAGCACGTTGTTTTAAAAGTAACCCATTCAGCTAACTTAGTACAGCAAACTCATCATTTTAGTGAATTTCTACAACTATCAACTTTAGTTCCTTCCATGCAGGGATTCTTTGCTGAGTGCTGCTGCAGGCTATCAGCTGTGCACATGGAGATCCCAGGGGGTGTATTTGCAGCATTATGTGATGTAGTGTAGGTGATCTCTATTTTCCTTGGGCTTAGCATTTTTTGAAATTTAGTCTTTTAAAGCAACAATAAGAGTGCATTAGGCTACAGGGTGGACTCATTCTGCCAGATATGAGACATTACTGACCACGATGTTTAAAAAATAAATAAAAAATTATATGTGGCTGGGTAGTTACAATTCTGTATTCTTGAATTCTGAGTGAGAAAAAATGGCTTTTTTGGGACAATGTTAATTATATGGTTTGCATTTTTTTTCCAGTAAGTAACAATCCAGCCAGGATTGAGTGTTTCAACATTCTGCATTCAAGTACATTTATTTGATTACATGCTAACTGGCCATCTTTATTCTCAACAAAGAAACCAGGTCTGTTTTCTTACAGAAACATAACTTCTAAAATTCTGTATTCAAGATAAAAATGTATGAGTTACAGCTATAAGGATCAGCCATGCATAGCTTTCTACAAGCAAATAATAAGTTGAATCCCCTGCTTTTTTTGTCCAGGTACTTTCTGAAGTGCAGCAATTTGTACTTGCATACTATTTTCAGAAATGCATAACTCTGTCTGAAATTCTGCCCCTTCCCTTTAGTATCATTTTATCTTCATAGACATAAATAGTTCCAAAGGCATTGCTTTCTGGTGGAGTTTCAATAACCCCCTCCAAAGTCAGATGATGAACTCCATGAGAGTCTAAACAGTAGCCACCATCATGCAGGTGCCCAGCAAGGAAGCAGACCACGCACTGATGGGAGTGTATGACTGAAAGGGCATCTTTGTAATTCCAGGCTAGGGAAACTCTGTCTGAAGCATCTGGATGAATGGGCAGATGACCTACAGTTGAGGGGGAAAAGAAGCAGGAGAGTTACTTTAAGTATACCCAAACTCTGTCTTCATTGCTGGGAAATTCAGACAATGAACTATACAGAAGGCTCTAGAGCTACAAAGCTGCTACATGTTTTCCTCAGCTAACATACATGAGGTATATACATTTTTTGGCATATATTCCCCATATTCACCTACCCATAACTACAACTTTTTCTTGGTTTTCATCTGAGAACTTGAGGACTTCATTGAACCAATCCAGCTGGACTTGACTAAATCCTCCATTAAACTCTACAAACTGAGGTTCTTTGAGTCCTGCAATGAAGAAGAAGGTTAGGCATAGGTGCATACACTTCTCCTGGGATAGACGGTTTATTCTCATAAACTTTTTTTTTTCATCTCTTGCATCAAACATCCAGCCTCCTTGAAAAAAAAAAAAAAAGAAAAAGTGAAAAAAAAAAGTGATTTGTTAGTGTTTTGGGGGGGTGTTCACTCTACATGCACAGGATTTCCACTCTTGGGATCCTCCTAGCATGGGGGTAGGCATCACTCAGTACTCTCCACTAGCAGCTACACCAACAGCTGCCTTTTGTTCTGACACTGCAGGGCACACAGCACGACATAAACCCATCCCCAAAGCACAAGAGCAGCATGAAGGGTATAGAGGACCATATTCTGTGCCTGCCTAGAGATGAGCTGACCAGTCCTCAGTGGACAGCAGGGAGGTGGAGGAGGTGGGCAGCAATGGGGCACCCACCTCAGCACCCTGGCAACCAGATGTCACCCCTGGGAGCTTCCTCATCACTCTGGGAAGCAGAGGTTCTGCTGTCTCTGCTCCCTGCCAAAGGGTCAGGCCGAGGGGTACCTGTGGGGCTGTTGAGGTTGTCGTTGGGGTTATTCTTCTGCAGCAGCTGCAGGGACTCCTGGTAGCGGGGGCTGTCTGGCTCCCTGCCAAGGATGCTCAGGTCGTAGGCATCGAGTACGATGATGCGGAACCGCGCGGAGGGGCTGAAGTGATAGGCCTGGCAGTCCCCGACCGGCGAGCTGGTCATGGCCCCGATGGGACGGCTGTTGAGGCCAGTGTGCACCAGGCGGGCCCGGCTGAAGTTATAGAAGTCGTGGTTGCCCCATGTATGATGCACCGGCACCGGCAGCCGCCCCAGCTCTGCCA